AAAATAAAGTTTTCCCAATAGACTTTAAATTGGAATGACAGACAGTTCTGAAGGAGATGCTGAAATGCTTATTTGTAATATAAATTGTGAAGATGGGGTGTGAACTCTCCCTTCTTCCCCATGTGACATTTTTTAAAAGTCTGGGCAACTAAAGATGGGAAATAAGCTTAAAGTATTTTAACTAGCAGAGCATGCTCTCCCTTCCCTTTGACTTTCAACAGTGTTCTGGTCCATGAGGCTTTGAAGAAGACCTCTGGCTTCTTCAGAAGTTGTCAGAAGAATGAAATTCACAGAAAAGACGGCACAGGAGTAAGACCTATTCCGGATGTGTTTCGGGGGTCTTAGCAGAAAGCATCACTGTAGCGCATCCTAAGTGTGACTTAGTCTCCCTGGCCTTCTGTGAGCTTTGCCCAACAGGGCATCTTCTGCCACCCTGGCAGGCACAGAAGCACCGCTTAGCTGCAGCTCTGCTCAGCTGTGGACTATGGACTCTCACCCAGCTAGCATCAGGCTGTTGAATATTATCTCTTGGAGGAGTTTGCAACCCTTCTGTTCAGACTTGGGGAAAAAAAGAGAACTTCAGCTGCCTACTGCTGCTGATGCACATTGGACGTCTTCTCCGAATCCTCTGAAGATGTGAAAAATCTGAAATGGCTTTTGTGTGATAGTGTGTGCAAACTGCACGTGGGCGTTGCAGCTGCTTAATATGGCCCCAATTTTTTAAAAAAATGTTAAAAGAAATACAGCTTTTGTGGAGAGCAGAGGCTTTTAATGGGCAACTGCATTACTCACAGAATTATCCAGAGCCCCCCTTTGCCCCCTTTTGTTCTTCCCAGAGGAAAGGGAATAGCTGCACCCTGCCCTGAGGTGGGTAACCCTGAGAGAAAACCATAATTCCCCTGCCATCAAGTCTTTAGAGGAAAAGGGACCAGTGATGCCCCATCTTGTCTCCTGGGTGCCTTCTCTAAGCTGGTGTGGGCAAGAAATAGCAGCAGCTGTTCTCACTAGCATCTTCATACTCCCCCGAAAGAAGTGACTATTCCTGCTGCATTACCCTAAGACAGGGTATTCAGTACGAGAACTATTAATACCTTTCCCTGCCCAAGTTGAATGTAATCCTTTTCCGTTTTTAAAATGAAAACTGAATAAATGCGTCAGGACCTCTAGCATCACTTATATTTCCAAGAATGCTGGTCGGCCTCATTGGAATTCTTTGAAAATAAAAAGCAAGTGGCTATAAAGAAGCTAAATTGGGTCTGGGTATCGTGAAAGTGGTTCCCTTCACCCAACATTATCTAGCAAAGGAAAAATCTCCTCCAGTTGGCATGCGCAATGCCTTGGTTACTCCATGCACTGCATTTCCCCCCCTTTTTTCTTTCTAATCATAGATTCACCAATTGGACTTCTTTTTTTTCCCCTCCTTGAAAAGAGCTGGGGGTATCGGCTGCCATCTAGTGGTCATGTGCATTTCCGTAGGTGAGATGCAGCCATTGGACAAGTGTTGGAAAGCTGGAGTTTGAAAAAGGGATTTAGTTGTGGGGATCAGCGTGGGAGCTATAAAGTCCCCTAAGAATATGCAATAAGGAAAGGATGAACCAGACAGAGCTTCTCTGAGAGCAGCAGCTACTGGGAGGGGAATGCTTCACCAGATAAGCTCCAGGACACTTTGCCCCTTCTTCTGACTTTGCAGACTTGGAGCTAGTTTTCTAGAGTGTGGGGATAAGTGAAAGCCAGCCTCTTTGGGAAGATGGACTGTTGGCCATGCCCAGTAAAGACATTGTTCCATCTTGGCCTGGGACTAGGCACAAATGTGATATTAACCGGGAGCTAAACCTGCCTTTCTGAGGATTGTTGGTGGAATTATAGAGCCAAACCCTGGTTTTCCCTGATTCTGCCTTTGTATAAATGGGTTCTCTTTGGGGAGACGAAAGCTGAATTCCATCTATTCAGGCCTCTCAGCGTGGGGTCAATTTAAGAGATGCTTTGCGGGCACAGTTGTGCCACACCAAGTAGGGGCTTGAAATTCATTCATAAAATACCTATACAAAGCCAATACCGTCTGTTAGGGCGTAAATAGAAAAAGGTTCAAAATGTTTTAGTGATGGTACATAATTCAGTATTGATGACACATCAATATTTTCCAAGATAAATAAATCATACAGTAATAAATATTGGAAATGCCATGAAGCAGGAGGAACATTTTACCACATGTGGTGGACGTGCAAGAAAACTCAAAAGTACTGGAAAGATATACATAGTACAGTGCAGAAAATTTTGGAAATTAAATTTGAAATAAAATCACAACTTTTTCAATTAGGTATAATCCCAGAAATATCATAATTTACTGAGATACACGCTCACAGCAGCGAGAATAAATTTTGCCCAACACTGAAAGAAAGGTACAATTTCGACGATATCTGATTGGGAACTTAAAGATTGGAGAATATGCAGCAGCGGCAAGGTTAATAGCATATATTCACAGCAGCCGTTTAACCAAATTCAGGAAAGAGTAGTGCCCATATATGCAATATATTATGCAGGATGCCAGATATAAACACTATGGTATGGATTCCAAGGGGACCTAAATGCTGATAAACACTGCAGTTGGTAGAGGCACAAAAGGGGGGAAGTTAGAAACCAAATAGCTTTTTAAAAAAATGTTTTTGTCTTTATTTTGTTTTGTCTCTTTTTTCTTTAATATTCACAAGCGATAAGTAACAATACACTGGAGACCTAAGTATTAAGCTTAAGACAGAAACCTTTATTGTATAACAAATAGTTTGATGTATTTTGCAGTTGTTTATTAATGCCACATTTAGCTTTGGTAAGTTTAAAGAACTTTATACTTATCAATATTGATATTTTAGAAATCATAATTAATACTGATATAAACATTTTCTTTATCTTTAAAGGTTCATCTAAACATTAGAGTGTAAATCATCTCTAGTCAATACTGTATAAATACCACTGTCCCCAATAATGTAATGTATTACTTATGTTTTATAATAATACAGTAAAACCATTTAAGGGGGGGGGAAAGAAATTCATTCATAACATCCTTGTGTATTATTTATTTCTTCTGTCCCTCCTCACAACCACTTCTGAAAGAAGAACTAGTCAGAAGCACTTTTAAGCCAGATGCAAAATGTCCTTCCTTGAACCAGAGTATTAGGGGAAGCAGGTCCATTCTCTTCTTTTCTCTTATGCCTGGGAATTCTTCCTTATTACGCAACTCCTTAGTTTAAGCAGTAGATGTTCATGGTCCAGAATGGCTTTGGAAAAAATATATTTCGCATACACACAATTTAACAAGATTGGCAATTAGTTAAAGGTGGCTGAAAGCTGATCTAGAGTGAATTTGCAGGGTGCTACAATTTCCCTAATTTTGCCCACTTCCTGCCTGTAGTGTTGAGTGTGTGTTTGTTTGTTTTTCTGGTCTTTGTTGCTATTCTTCATATCAGTAATATCACCCACGAGTTCTAACCATACCCACTCTCTCCTGGGTGCCTGAGTTTGTCTCAGATATTTCACATGCAGCTTGAAAGCTTCCCGTGTGGAGGTGCCCCACAGAATACAGAACTTTGAAGGTTTAGCAGAGAATCAGGCTGTGATCAGGGCAGAGCTTCCAGAAAGCTTTGACACCCATAGCTGGGACTGTAGGATGTTTGTATGTAATGCAAACCAGTGTGGGTATTTTACATATATTCCTTGAAAAGACATCACAGAAAGACAGTGACGTGCTTCAAAAAGTTGGCAAGACCAAGATAAAACTTAAATATTGAGGTCTGTATTATGGTCAGTAATCAAATTTAAGTATAGTTTAATAATAGGAATTATGGAAGGAAGAAAAAAAATAGGATAAAAAGGAAGCATAGCAAATTACAGACAAAAAAGCAAATGATTTAAAAAAAAATGCAGAAGTAGATCCAGGATGTATAAAAATGCAGTTTTTTAACTGATAAATACAAGTTATTGCTATATAATAGCCTACTAAGATTCTAAAATGCTGACTTTATAATTGCTAAATTATAAATTATAGTTAAGAGATAATCCTAGATGGATATGCTAACATGTCAGGAAACCCATAAAAGTGGTTATGATTCTGCTTACGAGGTCTCAAGGATGGGAAGTTATGTGCTATACTTGTGGTACCATTCTCGTGTGAACATTTCTGGAAGATGTCGCTGATGTGTCTGCACAAAAGAGGGCAGATTAGTTCTTTGCACTATCCGAGCAGAAGAAGCATTAGAGGAGAACGTGCACACTTGTTTGGGCTTCCGTCAGCAAGCAGGGGACGGGTGTCCCTAGAGATGAGCGCCCTTAAAACAGCGCTCTGGGGGTGTGGACGGCAGCCTGTCGAAGCTTTCCTGCCGATGGGCAGAGACCTCTGAGAAAGAGGAGGCAGCTAGAAAAGGGCTGAGGCGGAATCTGGCCTTGATACTTTTGGGCTAGGAGAGAGGTTTTTCTGGAGGTCTCTGTGGAAGGTGCGTCACCCTGGCTCCGTGGGTTCGGTGATGCTGACACGCAGCTTTCGCTGTACGTGTGACTGTGGCTGTCTCGTCTCATGAAATGAAATGAAATGAAATGAAATGAAATGAAATGAAAGATGGCGCTTTCGTGTCCTTGGGCTTTCGCGGCGACCACCCTTGTCTGATGAGGGTGCCAGAAGGGGAGCCCTGAGATACTTAAGCCGCTCGATCTATTTTGCGCTGACGGCCATCGGTTTTCCAGAACGAGGATGTGACACAGCGTGCCCAGCGACACGGGTAACTTTGTTTTGGCACACCTGATGTTAAGGCGGTGATCTCTCTGGGAAGGGCCAGGGATGTAGAAGGAAGGAGTGCCTCCTATGACGCTGGATCAGGTTCCCTGCTTGGCTGTGGAGGAACTAGCATATCTGTGAATTGGCCCCTGCGTTTGGAGACGGAGAGCTTTAAATTACGTTTATCATGGCAGTGGACTCCGAAGGCCGTTAAATCCCATGTGTGCTCTGGTGTTGCTTTTCAGTTGAAGTAATGCGTATTTGCCTTTCTTTCCATAGGTGCAAAAAACTTTTGAGTAAGAAAAAGCTAAAACGGAAGCAGAAAAGTAAATTGAAAATGAGAACACGGAACAAGGTATGTTTTTTTCTGTTGTTTTCTGCTCGTATTTCAGGAAGGAATTAAAAAATGGGAAATATGGAGCTACTTAAATGAGTATAAGAAATTATATTAATCATGTGAAGAGATCCAAGATGTTTGCTACACTTCACATTAGAAATATTAAAATCCTAATCCAGCCGTTCCCAACTTTTTCCTTAATGTGAATCATTTGAGAGAGAGAGAGAGAGAGAGAGAGAGACGCTGAAATCTCATGAGATCCCTGAGCCTCTCAAGATTTTGCTGCTCCTCCCTCACAGAATCTTGAGATTTTTATCATTTTAAAAGCATGGGGTTTCTTGGCACCCAGACAAGGGACCCCCTGTAAGTATTCTTAGAGACTACCAGGGGGAGCTCCCATTGGTCTAACCTGCCAAGTGTTTCATCATGCCGTAGAATGTCTTGAGCCATCCGACTGCAGAGCAGGCTCATTCCGAGTGTTCTGGAACACAATTGATAGTTAAAGTGTATGAAGAAACAGGAGAGAAGGTGCTCTTTAAGTATTTGAGGCTTTTAAATAATCCATTGAAAGGAGTACTGTCACTTATTCTTAGAAAATAGTGAGGGTCCGAGCAGATAACCGCTGGAACAGGCTAGTATGACATTTACCAGGCTGCGAATGATGGTTGCTGCCTTCACATCAGGGAAAAATGCCCGCAAGTGATTTTTTTTAAAAAGTAATCATCTTTATGACATATCCGTAACTTTTTTCAGGGTGATTTTCCTTATATGCAGCACCTGGCCCCGGGAGACAGGAACCCCTTGCATTCTTGATTATTTTGCCCTTTGTAGAACAGTGGCCTGGGTGATGCACAGGTAGGAGAGAGTTGCTTGGCGCTTTCACTTCAGAGCTACTTGTGCTGGTGGTTTAATGGGGACTGGCGACATTCGGGGGGTATGGATAATAGTGTTAGCACTATTCTGCAATTGTACAATACTTCAAAGGTGTTTGTACTTACTGCTTGGTAGTTATTCTTACAGTAGCCTTGCAAAGTATGGCAGTCTTTAATTCTCAGATAGTAGAGGCTAAGAAGAGTAGTGAGGCCGAAAATCTCTCAGTGAGTTCATGGTAGAAGTGAAGCTTAATCTAAGGACTTCCTGATCTGCGCTTCATTTGCTTGGTTAGCATTTCTGTATTCCACAATATGAATGTAAAATAAGTTGAATGGACGTGCCAAGGAGCTGCAAATAATTGGCGCTCTTCACCTCAGAGTGTTCAGAATCTGCATCTACCTTTGCCTTTACTCTTACATATCATTGTGATGATTGCAGCAGGGACAGCTGAATTTAGAGCAGTACACGTGACCGTTTCGAAGAATGCACTGTGACAGTTCTGTGTTTCAGGGCAGCAGTGAAAGTGATGGGAGAGGAGAAATGCTGAGCTGCGCGAGCAGGTGGCCATCCTTTTGCTCTTAATTGAAAGCTACTCTAAGTTTTTTACACAAACCATTTTGGAGCCCTGCTTCTGCAGAGATTGCATTGCTTACCATGTGTTAGAGCTTAATATTTTTGCATCAGTTGATTTGTCAGTCATATACCTGCAGAAAAGCTAAATAAAGAAAAAAGTTGGCTTAATCATGACTTCTCTCAGGATCCCACCAAGAGCAATGCTGGATTTTAACAAATCCCTTTTGTGCTCAAAACTTTTGTACTTTAAGCACTGCTACTCTGGATTTTGAACATCATCCTGCTCATCTGTTTTTTTGCTTTTCCTTGAATTAAAAAGGAAATTTGACCCTAGTCTACCCCTTGTGTTAAAGCAGGGAGGAGAATAAGCTTTTGACAAATATCTCTGCAATGTAAAATAAAGGTTTCCTGTTGATTGCAAGAAAAATCTCTTCTGTTGTCAGAGTGAAAGCCTGGATAGTATGGTGTCCATACCAGATATCAAGCTTCACAGCAACCCTTCAGCTTTCAACGTGTACTGCAACGTGCGCCATTGTGTCTTGGAATGGCAGAAAAGAGAGACCTCTGTGGCTTTGGCGTCCAAACACACCGTGCAGAGTGGCGATTCAGACAGCGAGGAGGAGGAGGAAGTGAAAGAGCCCCCCATTAAGCTTCCAAAGGTCAGGGAACTGGGGCAGCTTCAAAGTGTCCTTGTCTTTGAAATGTTCTGAGCCTTCTTTGCTCAGAGAACTGTCTGCTTTCTGTTTTAGATCATAGAAGTTGGATTATGTGAAGTGTTTGAACTAATTAAAGAGACAAGGTTTTCTCACCCCTCTCTCTGCCTGAGAAGTTTGCAGGCTCTTCTCAATGTTCTTCAAGGGCAGCAACCAGAAGGCCTCCAGTCAGAACCTCCTGAAGTTCTAGGTAAGGTTTCCTACAATTGCTCAAGGTAAATAAAATAGAGGACGGACCAGTCAAACTATGCATAAAATTATCTCAGTTTGCTATTCCTGTTTGATGCTGGAGTTCCTAAAACATTGCCTTTGCTATTTTGAGAATTCTGTCAAATTCTTCTCAAGGATAAAGGCAGTTAACAGATACTTTATTTTAACACTGCTAATTATATGTGGTGTAGAAAATGCCCATGCTACTTCAGATATATGCCTCTAAAGATGATACCACTTTAAAAATTGATTGAATTTGCTGCATACATATCAGCTCAAAACAAAACAAACAACAGGAAATGTGACTTATAGATTTTAAACCAGCTAGGAGTTTTTTTAAAAAGTGTCTTTATAAAGAAAAACTGAGATCTATAATCATATCTAGAGGCTTGATTGACCTAATGCCTGAAGGACTCGGTGCTTTGGGTCAGTTTAGACTGCGGCAATTTTGAAGCGTTAGTATTTTACCTGACATTCCTGTCATCCTTATAAAGGGCATTGAAAGCTGCTTTTTCATTCATAGGGTTTATGCTTTCATCATAGCAATGTATTATTAGATGTGCTCTTAAAGGCTGTTTGGCTTTTGCAACCCTACATTATGTCCATTGCAGGGGAGATCTCAGGCAAGCCTGTTTTCCTTACATGTGGGATGTATGTTCCACCTCATATAAAGTTTTGCATTAGTTGCAGTTGCCACTTGATACTGCCAGAGGAGCAAGCAAGCAACAGAGGGTGGGGTAGGGGGCTCTGCTGTGAAGTGCTGGCTTATTTATTTATTTATTTATTTATATTTATTTTTTTATATATCACATTTCTATAGCCGCCCATCTCACGCAAAGCGACTCTGAGTAGCACTCAACAATTAAATAAAATAACAAATAGATAAAAACAATCATTATAAAAGATAAAAAAGTGACTATTAAAACATGACATCATCAAAAAGTTTTAAAACTTTACATTTTAAAATATACAAAACCCACGGAGAGAGAGAATATTAATCATGGTGGAGCCATCTAAGTCTTAGAGGTGAGGGGCAGAAATACCTCGTGCCTGTGGTTAGCAGTGGAGCACTGCATCTTTCTTAGGGAGTGTTTCTCCAGGTGGGGATGGAATGGCTGAAGAATAGCCCATGGTTGGAACCTCCCCAAATCTCCATGGATAGCTTAACCTTATATTTGCCAAAGGAGCCTCAGTCCTTCCTTCAGTTCACTGGTACTTGGCCAGTGTGCCAGGGGACAGCAGCGTTGCAATGTGTAAATAACTTTCCTTGCATCGGCTGCGTGTCTGCGTGCTCCGCCATCTCTACCATGAGTAAGTGACCTTTTGTTCTGTCTGCAGAGTCTCTGTTCCAGCTCCTGCTTGAAATCACCGTTCGGAGCGCCGGGATGAATGACAGCCCTGGCCAGTCGCTGACCGCCCTTTCCTGTGCTTGCCTCTTCAGTCTCGTAGCTGCCTGGGGAGAAACTGGACGGACGCTTCAGGCAGTCTCAGCTATCCTTACCAACAATGGGAGTCATGCGTGTCAGACCATCCAGGTCTTGCATTCCATCTCACTAACATGCACACATAGGTCCCTGGTGGCCTCTTGTGTGTTTTCCAAGTGTAAAAGTTCCGGTGGTGATCGTAGTGCCAAAGGTTGCATCAGAAATATTGAGAGGAAAAATCCCAGTGACATCTTTGGGTTTGCCATTTCCAGGAATTTGACTTCTTTCTAAATGGCTGACATCCTATTAGGAATAAAAAAGTCTACCTCAGTGCTTAAGAAATGTTAGCGTGCTAGTATTTCTGTGCTGAACTCTGTAAGCCTAAATCCATGGAAAAATATATCTAATCCTGTGGGCTTGAGGACAGCTCCTTTGTGACTGAGGAACATTTGAAAAGTGGTTTGGTGAAACTGGGAGAGAAAGGGGGTGAGGAACCCTTGGGCATGGTTTTGCCATTAAGGGGGCCTAAAGCAGCTGTTTGGATCTCAGGCTTAAATAAAATTAGACCTTAATATTTGCTTTCCTAATTAGTATCAGGAGCATGATGCTCTCTTTTCAGAGACCTAATTCTTGATCTTTGAAGAGCAGAAATAGGGAGAAATGCCACATTTGGCCTTGCTCTTTCCAGTGGTGTCCAAGAGGGGGATGGTGGGGGTGGGGGGTGTCCCCTGCAGATCCAGTTGAAGCCTACACTGACCTCCCATGCGCCTTCCTCTTTCAACCCCTCGGAAAGCAGAAAAGCCAGCCCTCCCATCTTTAAGCCCCTCCTGCTTAAAAACTGCAGTGGCTCTAAGAAAGGTTTCACACTGTAAAGAGGGTCCTGTTTCTTTCCCTTTGTTTATTTACTAGAATATGTTTATCTGCCCCTTAGCACATTCTGTTAAGGAGGCTTACAAAGGTTAGGCACCTCTGGAATAATATAGCGAGAGAAGAGAAGCCTGAAACAAACTAAATTAGAAGTTTAATTCCTTTTAAAATTATTTTGTTGCTTATAAAATACAGAAGGAAAAAAGGGAAACTGAAACATAACAGTAGCAAAATAAGTAGAGAAAAGAAAAGAATAGTTCAATTACATACATAACAAGATACATAGATCAAAAAATGACTCATTCTTTAAACTTTGACCACATGGAATAGTACTGGCCAGCATGAAACAAAGTGATGAGTCATCTCTCCGGGAATTTACATTAGGAGTTGCAGAACCTTTCCATCAAACAATTTCTTTAGTTGCTCTCCATAGCCTGATAAATCAAGAGTTCTTTATAGGTCATTACATTCCAAATTTTTGCTATACAAGTCAACATTTTATTAATGTATTTGAAGCTTATTTTTCTTTCAGCAGCAGGTTGATTAATATTAAGCTAGATGGGACAACCATAGAACAGGTCCCAAGCCTGTATGTTAGTGTCCTTAATTCCTGTTGATTGTCATTGATGCTAAATCTTACCAGCAAATCAGTCACGTGAACTGGGAAGAAATTTTTGGTATTCAGGTAGTCCTCGTTTAGCAACTGCCTCGGATAGCGACTGTTCACAAATACCGTGGTAATAAACGGTAGTAAAAAAATCATTTTCTGACCAATGTGTGCACTTATGCTCAAATTTCTGCACCTGACAACAGCGCACGCCAGAGAGTAACGCTGGCATTGCTGCACAAGAGAGCTTTATCTGAATGAGACGGCAGCAACCAGCAATCTTCGCAATGACTCTTTCTCACAGTCATGTGGTTTGCTTAGCGACCATTTTGCTGGAGTGGATTGCGGTTGCTAAATGAGGACTACCTGGAACATATTTAAGGATTTGAGCATGACTACATTTGCAAAAGAAAAAAAAAATCTAGAGTATCATCTAATACTAATTCTTGCCAAAGAAAAGGTTGTGACAGATAAATAACCATCTATAGCAGGTGGTTTTGACTGATGCAAGTTGCCATTTTCTTCTTGTATTAGCTGAGTAGCTTTACAGTGAGGTGTGCTGATTCTTGAATCGGAACCAAAATCTGTTGTTAGCTGTTGCTTCCTCCCTCCCTTGCTCCCTCCCAACCCCCCCCCCCC